GACAGATCGACGTGAATCATCGAGATGCAATAGATCTTATGCAATACACCTCTGCACATACATTCATAAATTTTGCAGAAACAATGAATGAATTGAATATGAATTCATTACTTCATCTACAGTATTGTAATTGTATAAATAAATACGGTATAATTAATGTTATATAATAATAATTTCATTCACTTGTTTCGTTTCAGTCACGGATATTTGTTTGTTACAAATAATAATTTCATTCATTTGTTTTGTTTCAGTAACATATATTTGCTGCGAATTCCTCGATTCGTAATCAATGAACTTGACTTCCCGATATCCAGATGAACTCGAAGTGCTTAAGATCAACTTATTCTCCAGTGTACTTGAATTATTAAAATGCATTGATGGTAAATGATAAACCATCATGAGTATTTGATCCAGAAACCTCCACACTTTCCACTGATAACATAAACTGTTTATTGCTTCACACTTGAATGTTAAGAAGGAATAAATTCAAAGGCTAAGGATATTCCAAAACTGATTTCATAATTAAGCCTCCAATGTAAATTGTTATAATTGAAGGATGAGCATGAAAAATGTATGATTAAATGAAAAGTATGCATTCTGTGTTATGTATTGTTTGTGTTTGTTGTACACATGATGTTAATATTGTGGAACAGAGACTTTTACAAATTTGGCCATGACGGCTCTCTAATCCCATATTTCAAAAAATCCATCTGAAACATTACGGACAGTTTACTTTTTGACCGTTAGACGACTCGTATTGTTCAAAAAAGGAAGAACACTATTAGTGATTTGTGTGCGTTTCGACGGGATAATTCGCAACCGCCAAATTCAAAAGTGGCATCATTTCTATTGAAAATGCACCGATTTCCCGTTGAAAACAGCTGATTCTTCGTGTTTTCGTTGTTTTTTGTGGGTAATTCCGGAATAAATCCGCTTTCCGTATGCTGTGACATAATCTAGGTATTTGGTGAATACAGTTTTCCACTAGCGGCATGAAAAATACAATCTTTCTCGAAATATCGCTCGATATATTGTATCGTTGGGTTCACCAAATTGCAAATTCAGCTTCTGCTTTATCCATAATTTTCTGAATTTGTATATTTTTCGCGCTGTTTCATCGTAATTTCATAATGCTACTTGCTGTTGCTTCATAAAAACATGAAAGGAACGTCATTCCTCGGAATCTCTCCAGAATTATTGTTTTATTTGGCTCAACAAACCGTCAATTCACTATACTTTCCTGATTGTATTCGTGATCATTTGCGTTACTATGCTCCAGAACAGTTTCATAGTATGATCATGACGGTTCCAAAGTATAATTTTCAGTGAAATGGAGAAACCACTGAAAATAATCGATGAGAATGCAAGTTCTTCGAGGTTACAAGAGCAGCTGGATGCGATTAATAAATCTGTGAGCACTGACAAGGTGAATACTTAATTTTCCTCGTGAAAAGTTGAGTATTTTAAAGAAAGTAATCTGCGATTGAACAACGCAACCTGAATTGAATTTTGGAAGTAATTAGCATTTATAATTGAAATTTAGTTTGTGACGGAATGTCAAGCAACAGAAGACGTTGAAACCGAAACGGACATATCCCTGAAATGCTCGGCTGAGGATTCATCCCCAATTACCATCGAAAAACCGGATGAGAAATTCTGGAGATCAGTGGCCGAAGACTATTCGGAAAAGCTCGATGATATGCGACGAAGGAACAAAGAGGTATTCCTGTAGCTATTGCAGATACAGATTATTTATCAGCAAACTCGCTTAAATAACTATGTTTTCCAATATTGTTCAGTTCTTCGTCACATTTTATTCATTCAGTACCTTATTCGAAACCAAAAATACACGAGTTTCAGCTGGAAGATGAAATCAGAATCGCTGAGTTGAAGAAGGAGAAGCTGGAAAAGGCGCGTGATGAGCTTCTCGCTGTGGTAAAGCAAACTCTCGGTGGCAATGACGGAGAATAAATCTCGTCTTCATCGTTATGGTCAAATCTCATTTCTTAACTTCAGATTTGTATCGAACAACTCAAATTTTGATGCATTCCTTGGAATTGTATAAATACTGATATTGTAGATATTGTTAAGGATTACTCATCTATGCTTTGATGATGCTGTATATTCGATTTGTTGAATATCGTATAAGTTTTAGTGTTTAAGCAGTTTTTGTGAATTCTCTATTGTGGATCAATGAATAAATATTCGTTCATCTCTTTACTTTCTCGACATTTCCTAAAGCAACTGTAGCATACAGTTGAAATTATATCTGCTTCTATGGATTCTATATTTTGTGCTTCCCAGCTTATATAAATTTTCAAGTAATTGTTCACGGTTTTCTCATTCTTTCATGCTTTCCATTCGCTCTTTCTTTGTTACATTTCAGTCATTATATTGTAAGGGATGGCAACTGTTCGAAAAGCGTTGTACACGATCAACGCGGATCCAAAAAGCCTATCTCCAGAAGGCAAGGATTCACTGAAGCAGTTTTCAAAACAGAGAGCGAAGGTGCAGTTAAGAGTAAAAGTCAGTAAAATTTGATTTATCGCTTATTCATTTTCATTTTTCATTTTCCTTTCTTACTGGTATCGGCTGTTGAAAATTATAACAGGTATATTTCTGTTCGCAAGGCATTACAAGTAATCAAGAAGAGCAGGAAGTCATGCCTGTCTGACTCCTCTCGTTTGAAAGGGCGAAAGGACACCAAACTGTTTTTGATCATCTTGGGTCTTCTAATAATTTTAATTGATTTAATAATTCATCAAGATCATATGTCGTTTGAAACAATGGAAGCAGACCTTTCAATGAATAAATTCAATGAATTTTTGAGTATCGCTTGAATAATTTTAAAATGTATCGTGCGATTGCTAGAACTTACTCTGCCTTACTTCCTTCCCTCTAGCATTGTTATCATTACTACAGGATGTGAATCGTGACATTAGTCAGTCCATGGTGAGCAATGGTAAACTCAATAAAGCTGAGTGCAAACAAACGAAGAATAATAGAGTGGAAATGCCACAATTTATGAAAAAGAATTCAAGTGTGAAAGACGAGCAACCAAAGAAACAAGTATCTGGATGCAATGAAGCAAAACTGCATAAAAATGAAGGAAATTTTGAGCAGTCAAAAAGCGATCTCAAAAGTTTTCCAACGAAAACGAATGGATGGAAGCAACAAAAAGAAGGTACTGATCACAAAGACAATTCAGTAACCGGATTGAAAAATAAGGAGATAATCAAAAATGATCGCGAAAGAAACAAAGAGTTTGACTACAAGGAGCATCATTGTATAAACGAGGTAATTGAAAATTTTACAAACATCCCAGAAACTTATAATTTGACTTCAGTTCTTCTCTTGAAGGTTCGCATGCGATCAGAATCCAATTTGAAGAGTTTTTTCACTTACTTTTATCGTTTTACTTCAGTGTTTTTCTGACAATGAGCAAGTGAGCACTGCGGTGAAGATTTCATTATGTACATTTTCGGACTAATATCGATTAATGTTGAAGAGTGCACCGTTTGCCTCACATGCCGAAATTGGAACCGCATTTCTTTATGAAATTACTAGCTATGCCATGAATTTTTCGTGATGAAAGCTGGCTGCCTATAAAAGTGGCGCATTTCATTTTACCTTACCACCTCATCACATCATATTAGATGTTTGTTGGCTCCTTCAAATTCTCTAATCGCACGATCCGGTCCAGTTACCTCATTGATTCTCATTGTAGAAAAGCGTCTTTATCGAAGAAGAAGCACGTATCTTCTCAAATGCCGAAGTTCAGACCGATGTAACCGTTAGTGAGTGCCCACCAAAAATCACAGCTGCAGATTTGATATCCGAAACACCATCTGCATCGTATTGGCGATCACTGGCCAACAAACTGGAATGTCAGCTCGATCAGGAATTTTTTGAGAACTTGAGGGTATGCACAAGTTCACTTTCAATCAACCACTAATATTCACATCAATATCCTTATCAATTTTATCATTTGACATATCCGACACAATTACTGCGGTCATTATCATTATTTGTATTGCAGTTGAATACCGATCTTGGGGAACTTCGTCGGCAGATCGATGAAATCGAACGTGAAACAGAAGAAGTCATTGAGTTTGTGAAGAGCGCTATTGCAGAGGGTCAATCCACACTTGCAACTGCGAACGAATAGACATTTTGACGTTGTTAATAGTTCGATATTGTCATCGATTTGCATATATTGTAATATTTCTTTACGTTTGAAAATAACATCGTATCATGTGACTCTTGACTTGGAAGTAGTCGTGCAATACATTATTATGAATCTACTGCATTCCTTCTTATTGAATCACTTTCATTGAATACTTTGGTTATTTCGTTGAAGTTTGCACATTCATAACCACTCGCTCATATTGTTTTTGTTACTAACTTTACTGTCATCATTATTACTGTTCATCACTATTTCGTCATTTTTATTACCAATCATTATTATTATTATTATCCTTGGCACCTTACGATCATGAGTGCATAATTATTATTGTAAAGTTACGATTACTATCACTAATAATTGTAGTAATATTATTGTCATTTGCATTTTAATTTAACGGCCATGATTATATAAAGTTATGAGCATCTATCTCATCAACAAAAAACATGAATCTTCTTCTGGAAATAATAGCTTGATTATTTAGAAATCATTCGGAGCAAAACAAGTGTTTATCAGAAAAAAAGTTACAGTGGAAGGAACCAAATTGAAGCCTCAGTCATCTCGGCTTATTTCAGGTGTTTTCAATGTTTTAAAGTGGGACTTGTCTTTTTGCATTTAATATTTATTAATCAAATTTGCACATTTAATATAAATTAAACTAACATGATATGCTACAATTTTTGAAAAGTTAGCAAATTGGACAGCAATAATAATAACAATAATAATTGTACACAGAGTCACTCAAAATGAAACACAATTGAGAAAAATTCGTTTACGAACCCGTGATAAACAGAAAGCGACATCTACTAAACACAAAAAAAGCATTCACTAACATAATATTTTTCAATCTATCGATGTAATTAATCATTCTTCTTGGACCGATTAAATACGGATAAATCACCAAACAAAAGCTCTGCACGTTCCTCATCCAATAGTTCAACTTTCGATATGGGCAAATACAAATACGACGCACTGAAATGTTTTAATCAGAAAGCTAACGAAATATAATCATAAAAATGATGGATAACTGTCAAAAGTACGCCAATAATTACAAACTTCGATAGTATTATGTTTATCATATTCCTAAAAGAATCCGAATGCAGTTGCTAAACTTTCGAGAGAAATTCACAATCATTTCACATGCTCTTAGCAACAATCTATTTTGAGGACATTCTTTAAAAATCACTTTCTCTCTTGCTTTTATCACAGATTTCAAGGAATAAACCACAGAAGAATAAATCGAAACTATGAATGCAACCTCGAATACTGTCTGAATTTGACGATAGCATCGTTGAGATTCTCGTTAGCTTCAGACAGCGGTAGGGCGTCATCCAATTCCAGAATTTTATTGCGTCGTCCACCCCAAAACGACAGATAGCCAACGCGAACGAACTGATTCGATTCACTCATTGCAATCACACCAATCATTCGATTAAAATATCTAAAATTTAAATTATTACCTATAACAAAACGTATGCAAAACAATACTGTTCCACTGTAAACATCCAACAGTTCGAGCTCANAAAAACATTCTTCCATACTCAATATATAAGACTAAATTATATCCTCAAACTGTCTTCTGGACATAAATTGAATTGAAACAATATACGATAATATCAATGAACATTGACAATATAAACCACAATACAACAGTGATACCATCGATTAGCTAAAGGTAGAACAAACCTGCTGAATAGCATAAGCATTGACGTTGCCAATATGGCAAGCACAGAGACACCAGTTAGAAACTGTGCAGATGCTTGATCGTTTAGGTATTGCCAATAGGTGTATGGTATCAACAAAATACTCGTGATCGTTTGTAGCAGCTTTGCCCGAGCCAACAGAACACCAAAACGTATACCTGGGAATCGATAAACTGCTACCCTGGAAACTCAAATGAATTTGCGGACAAAACGAAGAGGAAGCTTCAAATATATTCAATGAATCGAAAAAACTGAGCGCACCAAATACTAAACTCGTCTTAAAAGAAGATATAATGAAAGTACGCTAAGGCCTCAAGATTACGCATAAATATGTTACTCTCAAGATGATATTTCGACATCACTTTTCGCATCACCAAAGACAAAAGAATCGAGAATGTCCCATAACATATCAATTGAAAAAATGAAAAATGGTAGTAAAGGAATACGCGAAAATTAGGACATAAAAATCAATGGAATGAGTATTAATCATCATCAATGCTAAGAGAACAGTTTGGTAAGTACCAATAATTGAAGAATTCAAGTTGAGTAGAAAAATGAGACCGAGAAATAAACGAACCAAGTTTCATCCTTTAACAATTCTTGCAAATTTTGTTTTGGATTTGTTGACAGTGATCGTATTGACCTGATTGACGTGCCACCAATTCGTTGCAGGCACTCCTGCGCAGTGAACGGATTATATGGCATCATCAGGTGGGTACGCCGCCGTTCTGGTTTCTTTCTAGTCGCGAATCTCGTCGTAGAAGAGCACGCTGATGATGACGGAACTGGAGGAGCATTGCTAGACGACCCGGATGCAGTTGAGAACTGCTGCCGTCCGGTTGTCGAACCACTTCCCAGAAGTCGTGCTGCTGGAGCGGCTGCACGGCGATTCAACGACTCCAGAAGAATACGACCAAATACCAGCCCTTGCAGCAGTACCATTCTTCTTAAATATTATCACCATTATCATTGAATGTTCATAAATCACAACCAGTGTTGATTCACATACGTAAAATCATCTCACACACGATGTGGAAACGCGAATGGAATTCTAATCAGTCGTTTAATTTGATTTTAATGTTAATCTGAATTTGGAATTCGATGCAATTTTAATTTTAATCGTAAACGATAGAATTTTGAACAGAAAAACAGTAAAATGTGGATTCACTAGCATAATCGGTGAAGTCTTTATTGAAGTGGCACAAATCTCCAAACAGCGACAGAAATCACAGAGCGCAGGCGAGATAGAATTAGAATGAAGAGAGCAATGGTCAGGGACACTTGNATAGAATTCACTACTTTGGCACTCAGCCTGAATCGCAACGATTGCATTTGCGAAAAAAACTTTTTTATTCAATAAATCGCACTTTTTGAGAAGAATTTGAGATATTCACGGATTTCCATTGACTTTTCGGGGATAACCGAATAATAATATCCTCTTCATTTCCCCATTGCGTTTGCTGATTGTTCGATTCATCCTTATTTGGAATTAGGCATCATTCAGCGTTAGAAAGTGTAACTATTGCTATGATTTTTCATTGTTTTTCAATTGCACTCGAGTACTCGCAGAAAACTGCTGGTTACAATTGACTGCATCATTTTCCTGGAATCAGTGTGTCAATCTATTATGAATTCCCAATATACATAGCAATTAACGGAGCTAATCGCTTGAAAATCTCCTCGGAACAAATTGACTTTTGCAATTATCCTTGAAATGTCAATCGTTGATATTCTCATGAATTTGAGATGTCGTTATGATGAATTAGAGTTCATTAAACAATAATATCATGCAGTTCGTGCGCGATTACGCTTAAAATAAGTGTAGAGGACGTCCGAATTATCGTTCGATAACACAGTGATTCTCAAGTCTCTGTGAAAGCGTATGAGGAAAACGCACTCGTTTGAATTCCATCACACGATATTATTTTCCGTATAATTCAGGCCAATCCGACTAAGCGAAGACGACCGATCGAGCTATGGACGAAGTGAAAAGGAAGCGATCAAAAAGGATATGGAAGAAATCAACGAAGGAATGGAGCAACAGATATCGCACACTGAAAGCTAAGTTCTTTTTTTTCTCATACTTTCAAATTTCACTAGCGGGTTAGTGCTAGACGGGGGTAAGCTTAGTGAGCTTCTGTTGAAAGGAGTTAATTGAGGGGGGAGGGAATTTCTGGCCCGGGGGATTTCATTATAGTGGTGGTTTGTTGCTTTGTAGTTAAGTGCTTACTCCTTCCCGCCACTCTTTTGTAAAGCATGACTGAGGTATCTTGTGATTGTCTAGTGTAGGTACTAGGTTGGTTCACTGATCGGGTAGAAGGGCTTCATTTTGGTATCACCCTTCTGGAGTCACGTGAAACAAAAGTTCTGTTAAATAAGTTAAAGCTGGCGTTGCTGGCTGATTGAGAAAATTGTAACAAGCACAAAAACATAGAATAAATTTGTCTTCATGCGACAGCTTCCGGCATGATTTGACGAAAAATTATACGTAATCTTTCAAAACATTGAAATGCGATCAGATGTGAAATCCAACCTCCCAAATCAGACAATTCTATGATGAATGACCAGTAAAATAATATTCCCTTGGGTACATCTCATCCCAAATGTGTTTAATGGAAACATTAAAAAGGGCCAGTTCTCTAACACAACTGAAAAATGCAAAAACTGTTTGAAGAATATAGAGCTAGATTGAAGAGACATCAGTTTTTCTGTTGCAAGTCATATCAGCTCTTCATATTTGCTCACCGAAATTTCTCAAGCAAACCGCTCTGGCCAAGATTCGAGCTATCGAGCCCAGTTGTAATGTTCATTGCTGGACATTTGGGCAAATCCTATTATAGTAAAGGAGTCATATGGCGATTAGCATGCCAGCTCCTGCGCCGGGAATGAGAATTGTTTGAGATTATCAAACAATTGGTTGCTTGAAAATTAGGGTGAGGCGATGTATAACTGGCATTTTGATAGCCAGATACTACAGATGATCGCATCCGGAATTCGGTTGAAGAATTCGGAAGACTCCGCTCAATGGAGTTAGGTGAGCGAACTCATCGGCGCTTTTCTGCCTATGAGAGACAGTCTTTAGTTACTGTAATCATATGGCAAAAGCCGAACTTGGTCAGTGTGAGGAGCTTGAGAAACTGAAGTGAATTAAACTCGAAGAGCTGATTGGAAAGGAATTTGTTATTTAATTTGCTTTCGAGTATTTTAATGAAATTTGTGGTATTCGGAACAAGGAATTCTGAAACGAGAGGTGTTCAGGGGACTGGCCTTTACAAAAATTTGTCTCATGAATAAAATGACTTGCTTGCCCATAAGCAGATTTATGTAATCTCCTAAGTTATTGGATTTTCACATTTGAGATCGCAATGTTTCTTGTGGAATACACTTTAAGAAAATAAAACATGACCAGCAACGCCAGCTTATAAAAATCTTTATAAACAAAGCTTACAAAAATTTTTAAAATCTTATAAAAAAATTTATTAGCAGCTTATAAAAAAAATCCAACTCTTCCGCTTGCTACTAAGAGATTTAAACATAAATAAAGATTAAAATAACATAAATAATAAACCAACAGATTTAGTAGCAAGCGGAAGAGTTGATGGTGGGGTGACTCCAGAAGGGTGGTACTAAGTTAAAAGTTCTCTCTATTCGGTCAGTGTTCCTTCCTAGTACTTACACTAGGTGATCACAAGGTACCTCAGCTCAGCTTACAGGGAGTGGGGCTGGTGCGGAGATCTTATGTGTTATTTATTGTTATTGTTATATTATCCACCACTTCCCAATCCAGGGGGGCAAAATTCACTTAACTCCTCTGAACAGAAGCTCAAGTGGGTAACATTAGGTTTAGGGTGACTAAGTTTAGAGGGGATAACGGGGATAAGTTTAGCGGATGGGGTGGGATTTAGCGTGAGATAGTATAGTAAAGTATAGTTCTGATAACATAAATAATAATAAAAACTTCCAGTTGATGCTGCAGAGTGAATTTTCAGGATTATTCAATATCAGTTTGGAGCAGTGCAATGAAAAGTGGACAGCGAAGGCGCATAAGGAATCCAAAGCAACATTAATGGACGAGGATGCAGAAGAAGATTCCGAGGATTTTGTGATGATGTGATCACATATCTTGATATTATTTAATGTAATGACATAATTGTAATATTAATTCTCGTGAAACCCTCATTACTCTCTGCGAAGAGTGTGAGGGTTGTATAAAGCATTAACGTGTTGTTGAATTCTGACGAAAGAGCTGAGTTATAGCTCTTTCGTATGATGCCTTTTGATTGGGACAGAGTTTGGTGAGGTGCCTTTTTCTGTGCTTGAGGTTTGAGGCATTTGTGTGGGTTCTAAATTCTCTGGCCCCGGCAGCTTTCTGTAAATTCTAAATTCTCGAAATTCTCTTCAAAATTTAAGCACCTCGCCACTCTGGCTTCGGCAGCAATCTGCCAGCTGCTCCATTTTTTTTGGTGTCAGTCGTCGGCAATTGCAGGCCGGACCCAATCGAGAGGTATCAAGGCCGAGTTGTTCGCGAAACGGAGATGGGCACCCGTCTCGCGAACAACTTGGCCTTTTTTCCCCCGTCTGAAAATGAAAAAGTAATGTGTCTATGACGCTCGCCGTCATGAAATTTCAAATTAGCGCCTTTTTGGGGAACATGTGAAAATTCAAGAAATTCACATATGCGAACCGAACTTTGTCAATTTTGACTGAAACTCTCACTCTGAAAAATTCATTCAGTTCGTATTTCTTGTCGAAAGTCGACAATTTAAACGGGAAATGATTTGCTAAGCAATAATGATGCGTGTTCGGGAACAGTAGCAAAAGGAATTCCTGATTCTCGTTTTGCAATTGCACTATTCACTCGTTGCTTGTGAGCTGGATAATCAATGAGATATTTTTATCGGTTCAGTTGAGACGTCCCTCACTTGTTGTATTAGCAAACGGTTTGATATCGTTCCTAAGGTTCGCATGTTTTGCAGTGGTGTACGCTCTTAACGTGCCAGACGGCTGGCTTTTTTTGCAAATAGAGTACTTTTGAGACGTTTAGCTGAAAGAAAATACTCTGTTGGGTGCTTATCAGCTCAATTTATTTCTTAAATTGCACGTTTCATTGGCATTGTTGTTTTTGAGCAAGCTCGTTTCATTGGCTTTAGTTGAATAGAGAGTCGTGCTTGTTTAGTCGTCGTTCGTCGCAAAATTTATGTTACTGCCGGAAAATATCCATGAACTAGTGTAGAAGTTTAACTCTTCTTCATTTAAACACTTCAACAATTTCTTTCGTAACTTCATATGACATCTCTCGCATTGTACTCAGTTTTCATTTTCGGATTGATGAGATGCCTCTGTAATTTGTGGTTTGTGCAATTAAAAATTTCGTTCGGATCCTACGTGTAAGCGTTCCATCCACCAGAACAATAAATGATGTAAATTTTCAGTGCCTCATTTCCGAACACAATGCTCAGATTGTGTGCCGCTACACAGCGCCATGTGGCCCGTGCGTTTATGCGCGGTTTCGCAAAAGAACTGAAGTTTGGTGCCGAAGGTCGTGCGGCAATGTTGCAAGGTGTGGACGTTTTGGCCGATGCTGTTGCGGCCACAATGGGACCAAAAGGACGTAACGTCATCATCGAGCAATCGTGGGGCAGCCCGAAGATCACCAAAGATGGTGTGACCGTGGCGAAGGCAATCGACTTCGAGAACAAGTACAAGAATTTGGGCGCTAAACTCGTTCAGGACGTAGCCAATAAGACAAACGATGAGGCCGGAGATGGCACAACATGTGCCACCGTGTTGGCGCGTTCGATTGCGAAGGAAGGCTTCGAAAACATCAGCCGAGGCGCAAATCCGGTCGAAATCCGCAAAGGTGTAATGAAAGCCGTGGAAGCGCTTGTCGCCGAGCTGAAATCGATGAGTCGTCAGATCGATTCACCGGAAGAAATCGCCCA